CAACGATTTTAGTTACGATAGCTGACATGTTTGAATGTTATAGTAGGTTGAGTAGGTTATGAGTAATTCTTTAGGTTGTATACACTATAGAAAATATTTTTTCAAATCGAAATTAATTATGCTTTTTCTGAGTAGGCTCGAATCTCTGATTCATCGTCTATGGCTTGTTTTACAGACCCGTAGGGCAACTCTCTGAGTCATAGATAAAATTTTTAGTATATGCCATTTTAAAAACCCCTTCTGTGATATAATATAGTTGTGGGGTCAAATTTTTTCAATCGCGTTTTTGTAATATTTTATTGAAAAATTTTATATTAGCTAGTTTGAAGAGGCAAAAAAGCCCCCTCCATTGGATGTTTCTACCCATAAAAACTCACCTATTCACTTCTTACTGATCGAGCAATTTACTATAACATACCATTTTCCTGGAGTATGTTAATCGTTTTTTTCCATTCCTCATCAGTATCCAGCCATGATGAGGTGATCCATCTTCCTCGAGAGAACGGCGGATTATTTCTTCACTTATTAATCTTTCTCGCACCGTCATATCCATATATTCACTGGGGTCTTCTTCGGCCTCCTTTGCAAAACCACACATTTTTGCATCAGTCTGCATTCTGTCACGGAATGCTATGGAATCGAGCTTATCTTTTTCAGTAATAGTAACGAATTTGTCAGGATCTTCACCAAGTTCAATGGCTTTTTTACGAAGACGTACCTCTCGTTGCTCCCTGGTCAAATATCCGGGTGGGTATGATATCTGCTGGGGAGTTTCTTCATTGCTGTTTTTTGGTTCGTCATTTGCAAGTAAGTCAGGAGAAATCTCTGATTCCTCGATAATTTCTAGAGATTTAGATTTATCGTCTGATGGTTCTATCTCTGGAGTCATGGATATATCAGTAGACTTAGATGATGAAGCAACTGAACTTTCATTTGTTAAAGAATCAAAAAGGTCTTGGGTCATTTTAGGAATAGGAGGAGTGGATACTCTTTCTTGATTCGATTGGTGGTTAATAGAATGGGATCTATTTTTTCCGGTCGAGGATTTATTGCAAAACAATGACCCTTTGGGTCTACAATTTCAGGTACGTTAAACACAGGGATATCTGTGGATGCGTTGGAGGATGTCTCAGTTTGAGATGCGTCAGAAAATTCCTCAATATCACCTACCGATTCACGTAACTTGGCCACGATTTTGGATCGATCAAGGATATAGACCCATTCTCTTTTTCCATTGATTCGTACTTGCTTGCGTTCTATACCAATTGTCGGAAGAGTTTTTCCAAATTTTTTACTAGTGAATAAATTTTCACCATTTCTTTCACACCAAATACGGTAATCCTGGTATAAATTCGAACATATTGGTTTCTCAGTCATATTTTCAGACCAAGATGAAATATGATCAATTATGAATCGAATTGGATTTGCTAGGTGTTCCGTCATTGTATCTGTTTTCATTTTAGTAGCATGAATATCTTGTGGATTCCAATCGGAGATATCAAGACTGAGTAGATAAGCCATAACTACACTAGGTGCGTCGGGATGTTCTAACACTTTGGCTAAATTCTTAAAATACGACGTATTGCCTTTACAACGGGAAGATACATCACATCAAAACACACGATACGCCGATCACCCATTTCTACTCGGAGTGGGGCATCATGATTACTTAATACCATAAATCCAGCATAATCCTTTAGAACTTTGGGTTCGAGTCCTTTGCGCTCAAATTGTTAAATAATCTTCTGTAACGAGAGATTTAAGATGGTCATTATATTTATGCCAATCCCCACTACTCATTCCCGTCTCATTCATAACAATTAGTTTACGTGCCTGAATGCAACTATTAAATCGTCCCAATATTTTCCCAGATCGGATGTTGCATAGAAAAGTTCTGACCCAAGGACTTTCTTACCTATAAAATCAATTAAGATGTTCTTTCCGCAACCTGGTAAGGAACGCAATACTTGAATTGTTCCAGGTTTTTTAGATGGTTGTACCAGATATGCTACCCAGTACCAGAAATATTTACTAAGTCCTTCATTTCCATCAGAGATTATATTTTTTGCATGCCATAAAATTGGATCTATAATAGCAGGATTAATCTCAGTTGCTGGTTGGGCTTTGAATCCTAGAAAAAGATTAAAGAACTTAGTATTTGGTAAAGGAGTGTTAGGAGAATATGGCAGGAAATCGATATTACGATACAGAATCAGACCTTCAACAACTGCTTGATTTATCAATATTTTTAATTCGATTGGTTCCCCTTGATATTCAGTTATTTTTATTTCATACTTAGCAATATCTAGTTTAGGTGCCATATCGAAGAAAAGTCCATTATCCGAATCTTCCATTTTAAGTAGCCATAATCTCGAAGATGTTTGAATACATGCGATTGTTGCTTGAATTGCCTCATATACTTCATTACGAGTAAAAATATTCTTAGAAGTGCACATATCTATTAAGTCTCCCCACCGTTCTAATTTTTCTGGAAGGGGACGTTTTTTTTTCTTTATTTTCAATTGTTTCGTTAATAAAAAGTTTAATTGATGGTTTCCTTGTACCTGCTGGCGTGTCTTGATCTGCTCGATGACAGTAATAATAATAAGTATTCTTATTTCGGATTACATATGCGTTATCACTACTGTGCTCCCGATTACAGAGTGGGCATTGAGATTCTGCTATGCGATTTAGGGGGAATATATTTGGGAGTGTCGGTGAAGAATATAAAACTTCAAAACCTTCGATTTTATACTCCTCAAGTAATTTTTCTATATATTCTACTTC